TGTCAAATGAGCATTTAAAATTGAAAGGGACAAATTTTAGGTCTTGGGTACCTCTCTTTGGTTTGCTTGGCTTACTAATTCCAGGTAAGAAAAGTAAAATATCTCTCTCTCTCTCAAAACTAAGGAGATTGCAGTCTTGGTAATATTAACATTACATATTGCTAATGCCCCCAGGTTATTAACATCCACGAGAAAATAGCGTGCTTTGATTAAAGATGGACACCTGTTCTGTTATCTCTGCTTATCTGCTTGGAGTGGTTTTTCTGGCAAGCAGCTTAGTGGAATTTGCATTCATAAGTGCTGCATTAATATCACATAGGCATAGACTAAAATGTAACTGGCCTGTTGAAAGACCCAGAAACATGCAGTGATTTCAGAAGCAGAGCCTTTGTGCAGAAGTACAGCTCAAACCTCTAAGTGCAAACTTGCTATCGATGTCCTTCCAGTTGTCTTGTTCTGATTGGCACTGCTTACTTATTTTTATGCATAATGTGTTAGCATTTGACCTTTTCCTTTGCTCTTAGCTGCTCATCACCATAATTTCCCAAGCTTTTCTAAGTTGCTTAGGTGTTCCTAACCTTTGTGTTGTGTGCGTTCTGTGACTGTGTCATCGAGCTGCCTGCTGTGATGGCCAAGCTGGACTGAAGCGCCTGGTGAAATCAGGAGCGGGATGAGCAAACCAGGCAGCTGGAGTGCAGTGGCTTTGGCCTCTCCACCGCTGTGTAGTTTCTCAGGTTATGCCAGCACTGATGCCTGTGGAATCTAATTTATTTGCTTTCTTCTTGAGCTTCACTGACATTATATTAGGGGGTCAGGAGCGTCCTTGGAGCTGTAGAAGGCAGTCTGAACAGGGCAGGTGGATGTGAACGTGTTGGTCGCATGGGAAGTCCCTGGCAATAAAGGAATGGTGGCACCTTTGAAACAGGACAGGAGGAGAACTTCAGGACTTAGTAGAGAACCACGCAGTCTCTTCAGAAGGATGGCATGTAAAACCTGGAGACTTAAATCTTTAAAAGGTGACAAGATGCTATGCTGCTTATGGTACTTTGAGGTGAAGGGTTATTTTAACATTCCCAACTGTGATTAGGAAGTGTCCGAAGGCTCTGGGGAATATGCCTGCGATACAAACTTTTTTTTTACCAGCTGATGTGAGTAGGACTTGCATTCAGTGTCTGATAGGACTTGCAAACCAAGCAGCAACGGGACACAGGCACTCCCTTGTGGGAGTCCCTCGCTGCTGAACTGTTGGTGGGAGCTCTTGCCTGGTTTGGTGCAACCCAACCAGCCTGTGCAGTGGGTGATCCCAGACAAAATCCCAAGCACAGCTCAGAGGTTAGCAGTGGGAGAAACCAGCCTGGTTTTGGAGGGTAATGGAGTTCAGTGATGTTGATAAAAGCTGTATTGGCTGTCCTTAGGGCCTGAGAGCAGACTCTGGCCCATTTTATCTGCTGACAGAGATGTAGCCATTAAGTTCAGACAGCATACGTCGTGTCAGAGTGGACCTAAAATCTCTTACTTTTTAGAGGCAGTCTACTAAGATAGGGCAGTCCTAACTTTGGATTTCTTCCCTCAGATTGAATAAATGTAAGGCCTCTGGTGCTTATTTAGTTGTTGGTGTCTGAAGTTGTGCGTTATCCTCAAGGTTTTAGTTTGTCGGTGGGTTTTGGTAGCAAAAAAACGTGGCACGTCGTTCTGTATGGAGCCGTCTCTTTGTCACACTCCAGGAAATGCATCCTTCCTATGAAACAGTCGGGTGGTGGCGCAAGGAGTGATGCTGCCTTCAGTGGTGAGAGCTGGGTTCTGGCGTGGGGGCTTTTCTGGAGGCCGGGGAAGGGAGGGATGGGGAGGAAACCTGCGGGGAAATGCTGATTTCCGTTAAACACTCATTGTGACTAGGAGTAAGATTCTGTGTATTGCTGCCTGGCGGGCTAACCAAAGATTTATTGAAATCAACTCAAAGTGCATATTTGTGTTCTTATTCTTGCCCTATTGTAAAAATTGCCTATGGCTAGAAACTTGGAGACAGAAGACAATCGGTCCATCCAAAATAGAAGGAAAAAGTATTTTGAAGTTTTCTTTGCAGCTAGAAGCAGGGATTTGAAGTAACTGTGGATTACGCAGGGTTTTTTCCAATACAGCAGTTTTACTTGCCACTTTATTGGACTTTATTCCACAACCACAGCTTCAAGAGAAAGAGCTTAAATAGCGTTGTTGCCTCAAACCCCTCTTTGTTTCATGTCTGTCTTTAAATACTTGAAGTATTTTCTCCTGTGTTTTCATCCTGAATCAACTCCTTGATTGTCTCCCCGCGAAGTAAAGTGTGCTGGCACCAGCTACGTGCGTGCTGCCCAGCAAGGTGCCTGCCAGCGGTGCAGGTCAGCAGAGTCCTGCCGGTGGGCCAGGCAGGGCTTACACCACGCGATGTAAAAGCTGAACACCAGCCTTGTGTGAAAGCACAAGGGCTTAGCCCAGCTCTCCTGCCTCCTCTTTTTGATGCTCTGAAATCACAGCGTTCCTGTGTCTGAACTGGAAGATAGGAGTGAAATCTTAATCAAAATGAGGGATCATCCTTTTTTTCTGTGGTATTAGGGGTGGCAGGGCAGAGGGGAAATGTAGGCCCCTTGCTGAGACCTAGCAATAAATGACTCTTCATTTGTTACGTCTTAAACTCCTAATAGTCCAGGAGTTTTTCACCATTTCTGTGCGTAATAACCAAATTTTTAGTGCGAGTATCTGCAGAGTGATTCTCTTGACTTGGACAATCTTCTGAATTATATTAAAAATATCTGTTAGTTTGTAGCTCTTTAGACTCACTTTGAGTAGGTCAAAAAAGTAACACTTGGGGAAAAAAAAAGAGAAACCGCCAAAACTTTGGCTTAGTACATTTCCGTTAGAAAATGAAGCATGGTTTTTGTGGAATTCTGTGCTGTTTTGGGCTTTTGTGTAAAAGGCTGAAGGCAGATTGTTATTTAAACCAGGTGCAAATAAATATCCCTGTAATGTATATGAACAAATTTAAATGGCGTATTGTAAGTATATAAACTGTACATTAAAGACACTATTTTCATGATATTTCGAAAGTGTACAGAATTTGTTGTACTAAACGAGTTGTGTTGCACGTATTACGTAAAATGGGTCAGTTTTTGCTTAGTGATTTCACTGAGTTATACTCTTGCTCATCTCAGTATAATTTGGAAATAAGCACTTCTCAAATAGTGAATTCACAAAGTAAGACTGGGATAATTGAGAGGAGCAATCAGGCTTTTGCATTTAACCTCTCAAGGCACATTACTTTTCCCTGTCTTGTAATTCCGCTCGATCCCCTTCAGCAAGAGTATCGAGCTCTGTGTTCCCTAAAGAATTTGTTGCCAGACAGCTTTCCTGTCTCCAGCAGACATTCACCTAAAACATTATTTTCCCAAGCCCTCAACGTATTATCTTTGTTTTAGAGAAATGTATTCCATTATAATTTGGATATGCTTTCAAGTGCAAGACCATGCACAAGTATTTCTGCTTTGTAGAAAGTCTCTGAAGCGTTTGTTGGGTGGGGAGAAAATCAGAGACAAAACAACATTGTGCTCTAGGTTGCCTGTTCATGTTTCCTCCAATACTGGCAACAGGAGGAATGTCAGCTCTACAGCCATCCACGTCATGCAGTTAAGTTGACAGTGTCCCAAATTCCCCTTGAGCTGGAGCTTCGTTTGCTGATCCTGGGCCCAAAGAAGGTTTACCCCAGCACAACAGTAGCTGTGGAGGCTTTTAGGGAGGGACTTATTAACATATGTTTATGAGAAATAGTGCAGGGCATAATGTGCCAGAGTGGTTGCCATTAGATTTGAGACAGATGGGGTTTACTTGCCTCCAACCCTCACATCTGGGAGAGGGGAGAAGCGTGTCTGGAGGCAGGATGTGCATCAGGGCCAGGGGGAGGGGACAGAGGACAGAGGGAAGCAGAATTACTTTCACAAGCTAAGAAAAATCTCATTCACATCTCTGCTCCACTCTCCAAAGAGGGGAACGTATTTAATTTTTGTTATGTTTCAGTCAACTGGCTCAAGGCTGAGTGAAAATGTCTGTGGGAAAGCATTTGATGTATGAAGGGAAAGGGAAGAACTATAGCCTGAGTCAAAATGTGGCAAACTCCCTGTCAGGAAAATGCTGTTCTAAGGCAGACGTTTTCTGTTTATGTGTGTTATAGTAGTCATTGAGCTTGACATAAACGTCCTGTCACTGTAGCTGCCTATAAATACAAATAAGGAATACAGGCAGGGGAAGGACTTGAAAACACAGCTCTCCTCTCTTTGGGAAGTGCAAGCTTAATGCTCGTAGATGTTGCTGCTCCTCTTGGTGTGATATGTTCACTTATTAGAGCTCCCCTAGATCTGTTAGGTGTGTGTATACCCTGTTCTCCCTCTCGCTGGGTCTCCTGTCCTTGAGTCCAGTTGCTATGGGATTCAGGATGCTGAGAGGGCCTGACGTCCTCTCTCATGACACCGGGGACTAATCAGCCAAGTCTTTCGTTGCAGCAGGGTGTGCCAGCTCAGGTCGTCGCTAGCTTGGGAGACTACACCACGCTCTGTTGCCCAGGTGTAAACATGCTTTGTGTCACCAACTACTCACGTCATAGGTAGCCACCTTCTCCAGTTCACAGGGTGAACAAAAGCTGCAAGCCTGGGCAAATCTCTCCTGTTCTCCCTTCATTCCATTCCCTGAGCAGATGATGGGATGTGCCACTGCAGAACTAACAGAAAATCTGGGCTGCTTGGGTGGTTGCTCTTGGTGATTTTTGCGCAGTCCCTTGGTGCTGCTGGACCACCTCCCCAGCAGCCTTACTCCCACGGCAGCATGATTTTTAGGAGTTCCCTTGGGACTGCTTGTGAACCAATGCCTCTGCCCCTATGGGCAGCTCTTGGAATAGCACCTCTAGCAGTTGAGCAAAAAATCAATTGTATTCTGCATGTAGATTTATTTTTTCCTTCTCTTACCTATGGTTGTCACACTCAGTGAAGATCAATTTTTGTTGAAAGTTGACAGTATATTTTTATCCAGTTGCCCAGATCCAAGCATTTCTTCTTTCCCGGAGTAAAGCATTGCTGTTCTTTTTCACTCTGCACAATGAAGAGCTGATGTGAAAAGTGGCTTTGAGAAGGGGGGTAGGGATCCTTCTCCCCATTCTGGCCGTCAAATTCCAAAGGCGGAAAGCTCAAGATGAGTAACCAAGCTGTCACAATGTGAGCCTAAAAATATGACCCAAACATTTATTAATTGCTCAGTGAGACCTCAGAATGCCCTTGACTCCTGGGCAGGACAAAAGGAATCTGCTGCCAAACACCCTTGGATTAAATGAAAACTATTCCTCACAGGGAGTCTGGAGTAGGAAGAAGAAGAAGAAAAGGAAAGAAAATAGGGAGGAGACAACATATTTAAGATGCCAAGGCTAAGGAGCTGGCAGTGAAGCAGAAGGACGTGTCCTCTTGCCTCATGTGGCAGTGGCTGCTGTAGTACTTGTACGTGCCACACAGTGTCACACTGGCACACAGCTGCAAAAGATGAAACCAGCTGTAGGGGTTGCAGAGGGTGATAGATGGGCTCACAGATCTCATTGGGCCTCTCTGCCAATCCCATAAAAGCTCTGCCATGGGAAGGAGCAGTTTTAATTGCACAGTTGCTATTCCATTATACAGTATCAACAATTATTCTTAATGAGCATGGGGGTCGGTGAGGCAGGTCTCTAGGACTGAGTTTCCCGTGGATTAATGCAAACAGAAACCAGGAGGAAACTCTAACGGTTAAGCACTGTAAGAACTGGCAGAAGGTCTGGCAGAGTCCTGAAGAACTGTCTTATTTATTTAACGGCAGCTCTGTAAGTGGGAGAAACTTATGACAGCTGGAAACTATACTAAGTGCTACTTCCAGGTAGCCTTTGCTCCTGGGAAATGAAGCACAGGCCGTCCTGGTAACCAGCCCTCCACTTTCCTCCTGAAGACAATGGGTATTTTTATCCTTCAAAAAGATTAGATTATGCTGGAAATACTGGGTTAGTGTTTCACAGAAACATAGAATGGTTTGTCTTGGAAGGGACCTTTGAAGATCATCTAGTTCCAACCTCCCTGCCATGGGCAGGGACATCTCCCACTAGACCAGGTTGCTCAAAGCCCCGTCCAGCCTGGCCTTGAACACTTTCAGTGATGGGACATCCACAGCTTCTCTGGGCCACTTGTTCCGGTGTCTCACCTGCCTCATAATAATAATAAAAACAAGTTTTCTTTCTAAATCTACCCTCTTTCACTTTAAAACCACTGCCTCTCCACCTGTCACTACACATCTTGCTAAAAAGCCTCTCCCCATTGTTCTTATAAGCCATCCTTTATATACTGAAAGACCACAATAAAGTTTTCCCCAGAGGCTTCTCCGGACTGAACAACCCCAACCTCTCTCAGCCTTTCTCAGCCTAGAAGTGTTCTAGCTTTCTGGCCATTTTCATGGCCCTGAAATTTTTCCTTTTACCAACAAATCAGTGAAGCTGCAGTAGAGATGGGCAGAGCCATCTGTCTACACCTGTCCCACACAGGTCTGCAGACTTGTGCTATGGATTTCTCAAACATTTTTGTCTGCTGCTTCCTATAATGAAAAGTGGTTACAGCTGATTTACCGAAAAGAAGAAAAGTGTTGTTTCACCGTGTCTACAGTGTTCATTTTTTGCTTTACAGAGTTCAATCTGAGCTTCTTGTGCAGCGCTAAAATCTAGGACTTGGAAATTGAACCTCCAGCGGGAGTGCGATGGGCCAAGGATAAGAAGCCCACTAATCAAAAAAGCAACAAACGGTACAAATCCCAGCTTGACCTGCAATGAACCCATCCCCAAGCCCAGTGTATGGCATAGTATTTCTGCTCCTATTGCCCTGAAACTGGTTTGGTTATTTCCTCACTCTGGCAGCTACTGAGCCACCTTTGGCTACTGTCTAGTTGCATGGGGTTCAGTTTCCTAAGCATATGTATTGTCACTTACATTTGATAGCTAGTGGATGGAATTTGATTTTTGTAGCTTATTCAAATGGCTTGTGTTCATATTTCCTTAATCTAGTGTTTTTATGAAAAAATTGGTTTATACACCTGAAGTAAAACTATATAGATCATCTATGAAAACTGTTATCTTCTTATTCCTGTTGATAGCTTTAAACAAACATCAACAAAAAAAAACCCAAACCAACAGAGATGGGCTAAGCACACGTAAAAGGAGTTATATTTAGGCTGCAGGTTCTTACTCTTAAGCTTGAAATCTCAGGGTTGATCATGAACCTGCCCGGAGCCATGAATTTCCATATACAAGATGCAGCTTTGAAATCTATTTCAAAGTCTTGTGTTTGAGCTTTGGAAAACCAGAGAGGAGAAGGCAGTTTCTAAAGGAGAGAGGAGAGGCCTCTCTGTTACACCGTGCCTTTCATCTCCAAACACAAAGGACCAACATACAAAGAAAGAGACAGCATAAGCTGAGCCACAGCAGCTCAGCCCAAGGTTGCAGCCCGGTGTCACCTCCCTTGCAGTAACCTCGAGTGAAGATCCTGCCAAGGGAATGGGAACAGGACACACTGGGATTTTTCTTAGAACTGCTTTCCCCATCTCTAATGATTTACAGCTCAGGAACTCTCAGAGACAGAAGTGGTATTTTGTATTTAAAAGTCACTGTCTTCACTAATGAGTTTCAAAGTTTCACGCTAAAATGCAAATTCTTACTGGCAACTTATGTTGGATCTTATTCAAAAATGCTAAGCAAAAATCAAGATTTTAGGAAAAAATGTGCTGAAATACTCCAGCCCCACCACTAAAACAATATCAGCATGTTGTGTTTGTAAGATATACGTGACTCTGACTCTGGTATTTTTGTTCTTGCACACTTTTCCAAGGTGTAACAACTTTCTGTTGGTACTGACAGAGACTCAAGCAATATTACCAGTGGAGCACCCATAATTAGGGGATGCTTGTTTCTGACCGGGGGAAAAAAACCCACAAACCAACCCACTCCCAATTCTCAAGGGATGCAGTTCATACCCATTCATTAGGGATCTAAACAAAATGTGCCCAAATACCAAGGAACAAAGTAAATGTTGTCTTGGACCCCAAACTGCAGCATTTCAAAAGGTCTGTGTGAAACCAACCTTACTGCATGGTTTTCTGCGTTTATTTCTCAGACAAAATTCTCCCTGAAATGAAATAGGATTTTTAGAAGCCAGAGGGGACTCCAGTCAAGAAACTAAGATAATGTTCATCAGCAAAATTTGACCCAAGGCATTATTGAGCCTCTTAGGCCTGTGTTATATATCAGAAAAATTCTTCCCTGAGAGCTATTCTCCATAACAACCGCTGCTGATTGCTCTCGATTTTGCCATAAGCCAAGCTTATAAATGCATTTTTAATTGATGTAATGGAAGACTTGGAGTTTTTTGGGGAAAAAAGGATTATAATTCCTTCAATTATGTTGAAATATTTGTGAGATAATTCTAAATAGGTATCTTCTAGAAGGCTTTGTTATTTCTTTTTGGTTTTAATACTTACCGTAAGCTATTTCCAACAGGAGCTCTTTAAAAGTCAGACTATCGATAAAAGGTTGTTACAAGCAGGCTAGCCGCTGGTGAGCTTGGTTCTTTTGCTAAAGCTGCATTATATTACTGAATGCAGGTGTGTGTATGCACCTGTGTGTCTGTGTATATATGCATGCAACTAACAAAAATGCATAAATGAGAAATTATCTGCTACTTGTCTGCTGCTTACCATACAGCTCAAGTGCTTCTGCAGTACTGAAAACACGAGTTTTTATAGCGTGTGAGAACAAGCAGGTGAATTTGCCTGACAGACAGGAAGCAAAATCTGTTCATAAAGACAGACTGACGGTTCAAGGGCAGGGAAATGGGAAAAGGGTAATCCAGTCTCCCTTTCAAGCTCCCTTAATAATAAGGTTTTCTTCTCTTCTGAGAAAATCAAGGATTACATTCACACAGGTAAAGGGCTTTTTAATTTGATTGTTTTAACTGAGTTTCTTTATGCAATTTTCCATTTGATTTAATTCTATTTAGTATGATAAATGCAGCTTAATCCGAAATTCCTTTTTTTTCATTTTCATGTATGAAAAACAGAGATGAAAGATTAGCTTCTAGTGACCTGCATCAAAATATAATTTGTCTGGAAATGAAATGAATTTGGATTTAGCTGTATCTCCTGGATAGTTTTACTGCAACAACAATTCTTCATAAAGTTAAACTGCCTCTGCTCAAGAAGTGGAAGAGAGGTGTTCAGCTGAGCTGTGAGAAGCTCCTGCAGTCTCTGCCCTGCCTCTGTGTCTCTGACTGGAGTCAATGCCATCAGATCCTCAAAATGTAAAGGAATTTAGGATTTTAAAGTAAGATTACTGCAGCAGCTTTTCATGGTTTAATTATTTTATATTGGAGGCTGCTGAATGATGCGGTCGGTGAGCTGATTGCTTTTCAGAGAGCATTAAAAGATTTAGTTGCTCCCTGTTTCAAACATTTGGAAATTTTCGTGCTGGGATTGAAGAGAACTGTGGAGCAAATCATGTCTCTCCCCAGGCACTGGCGGTTCGCTTCCTTGGTAGCTTGGGCTGTGTGGAAGGAATTGTGACAAAATGTAATTATTTTGGGTTTAGGCTTTTTTGTAACTTGGTCTGTGTTTTGTCTCTCAGCTGTATAAAAGGCAATATGCACTGGTTTGTTGGGTTTTCTTAATCCCTAAGTATTAAAGGCAAATATTAATACAGCCTTTCCTCCCTGCTCTGCTGGTAGCACTGCTCTGGCTGGGTGCCCACTGCTGGGGCTGGTCCTGGGTGCCCGGTTGCGGTGGGGAGCCCCTCAGTGCAGAGCAGATGTCTCCAGGCTGATGCCTCCTCAGAGCCTGGTGTCCTTATTTACCTCAAGGTTCTGGCTGCAGCTCAGGGCAATGCAGGCACTGGAACAGTCACACAGGCAACTCACTTGTCCTCATGTCCTCCCTTCCTTCCTTCCTCACTGCTGAGTGACTGTAGGTGCTGGACTTGCCATCCATCTTTCTCCTTGGTGGCGAAATGCCCAAATGTCGCATATCCCAAGAGCAGACAATTCTGCTTACAACGTTAAAAATATCACATGAAAAGTAAATTATAGGAAAAAAAAAATTCTTTTGGAGGAATAAGTGGTCATAGAAATCTCCTTCCATCAAGGTACCTTTGCATGACATTCCCTCCCAGAGC